GAACTCATGTTGTGAAGCTGTGACAACAAATCAGACAGTTCCTCAAATCTGAAACAAAGGACACTGGACATAGGACCTAATTTCTCAGTTGCAGCTCAGTTCAAGGCAATCGGTTTCCACAGTTTTACCAAGTAAGATGAAATTACTCTTAAAGGGACAGTCCTGAATTTTGGACATATGACCTCATTTCCTAGTGAGCCATAGTGTTGGAGACATGTGAAGACACTTTTTAAAATATCCCATCCAGTCCTTGTAATTGCAGAGGTCGCTGGTGCTAGGCTAGTGCATGACAATGGCCATAGTTAGCCTGCCACTAAAACAGTCTTACCCACTCCACAAAACACCTGAAGAAAATCTGTTATTACACCAGACTGTCCATGTGAATATCTGTGTCAATAGAATAATTTTAGAAGTAAAACCAACCTTGCATTTGAAGGATTTCTGTCTGAGCAGCAGCAGCGAGTTGTTATTCCTGATAAAAAGCTTGGCAGTAGCGGACTGATATATGAAAAATTAGTCCCTCAACATGCAACGATTCATGCGATGCAGGGTGAGTTTTATTTCAAACATTATTCTATTGACACAGACATTTACATCGACAGTCTGGTGTAATAATAGATTGTTTCGAGTGCTTTGTGGAGTGGGTAAGACTGTTTTTAGTGGCAGGCTAACTATGGCCATTGACATGCACTAGCCTAGCACCAGTGACCTCTGCAAATACAAGGACTGGATGGAATATTTAAAAAAGTGTCTCCACACGTCTCCAACACTATGGCTCACTAGGAAATGAGGTCATATGTCCAAAATTCAGGACTGTCCCTAGAGTAATTTCATCTTACTTGGTAAAACTGTGGAAACCGATTGCCTTGACCTGAGCTGCATCAAGTACACAAGGATATGAATATGTATTAGTCTTTGAAAAAAAAAAAATTAACACTTTTGTTGATCTTAAGTTCAAAACACATCATAACATGTAACAAAATAATATAGCTCGGTGATTCTGTGTCAACTCAACCAAAGCCCACCGCACTTGAGTAGCAGCTGTAGGAAAAACAGGGAGGAAGCAAAAGGAGGACCAGAACAGAAGGGGTAATGGAGCTGGACTCTTGGCAATAACATGTCACTGTTGAAGTTACTCATTTCATTTAAGTTGACCTTAATTAATTAATCTGCTTTTTTTTTGTCCTGAAAGTAAATGTTACTTTACCACAATCATTAAGATCCACAAATTCGTAGCTGTGAGTAAAGTAAACGAGCTGAATGCAGGTTAGTGTTAGATTTTACAGCTTTGTTTTAACACAATCTGACCAGAAAGAACTGATTTAGTTGGAACTACAAGAGGAGAGCTGATTCATTGCATCAGCCAAGAGTTTTTCAGTTAGTCACATTCACCTTCTTTTTGAAAATCAAACTTCTAAACTGAACCATGAACTCTCATATTGATCACAGGTTCCTGAAAATGTGTGTTGAAATCCATTTTGTATTTGTTTTTCTTGAGTTATCAGACAATCTTAAAACTTATCGGGCACCATGATGTCAGTGCGTGATGTCGGTGCAAAGTATCAATATGTCACTTGACTGTATCCATGGAGAGAATATTGCCTCTACTGGAATATTCCACAGTATGCCTTTTAATGTTCTGTTTTGTTCATTTTCAGATGCAACTGCGAATCAGATCAGACCAGACTTGTAATTTGGCATGGTCACCTTCTTGTCTCCATGGAGGACAATACATGCATCCCGAATTTCAGACTTTCGGTCATCGCGCAGTGCATACTGGAAAGGATCGATAAAGTGAACCGCCATGTTTGATTTCCCAGTGGGATGCGTCTATTGTCAAAGCCAATCTTTTCTAGTCTTTTGAACCATATCGCTTTTGTTTCTGATTCTGCTATTGTCATATTTTAGCTTTGGGATTCGGACATCGTAATTGTGTGGTTGTTGGATGTCCTAACAGCAGAAAACGGCTCAAAAAATGGGCTTCGAAAGTTTGTGAACTTCGTAACTGCAAAAGGGAATCGGATGTGTGTGACTGCAAACCTCCATTCAAACTGTTTCCCTTCCCAACGGAATTGAAAACTAGTGAAAGGTGAAGGCGATGGGCAATATTGATACACAGGAAGGACCAGAAAGGCTGCCTAAGAAATCAGCTGGAGTTTGCAGTGAACATTTTGTATGTGGAGCACCAACAAAGCAAAATATGACTAAAATAACTAAACTATGACAATATCAGAACCAGAAACAAAAGAGATATGGTTCAAAAGACTAGAAAAAAAATCGGCTTTGACAATAAACGCATCTCACTGGGAAATCAAACACGGCGGTTTGATGCTCACTTTTTCGGAGGATTCTTCCCAGTATGAATTGCGCAATGACCGGAAGTCCAAAATTCTGGATACATGTATAAGTTCAATGTCACACTGTGGAACATTCCAGGCAAAGAAAAACATTTCCATAGACTCCTTCAGAAACAAAATACATAGGAACTGTGTATTGTCAAAATATAATATAGATACGGCACTTAGAGTAGTCCAAATCTGAAGGATTTTCTACCGGGCCCGTACTTCACTATATTATTAATACCACGGGGGGCACCTGGAGGAACAATGGTACTCTCAGCACAGATCTGGGCGAGGTGTCTGCTGCAGGTGGAGGAAAGTTGAGAATAAACTCTTCAAGTACGTGATGAAAAACAAGTCTGCAAACTTTGTGACTCCAGACTCTCCAAAGTTAAGAAGAGCGATGCTTCAGATGAAAACAACCATGGATTTCATTCTGAGAAGATTTTTAAAGGTGCGCTATGTAAGTTTTCTGGTGAGGGGCTCGGTACCTGCTTGTCTCCATGGAGATGTAATGTCTTTGCCTTGAATGTTCCACTGTATGGTATTCAATAACAGGCGTCCATATTGCTAAAAATAACATAGTAGGTTTCGACTTCCCATATAGAGTTGGTATTTTGAGGATTTTTTATTACTCTGAAACCATACTTGGAAACATCACGTGGATATTGTGGACCTTACCACAGACTTAACCTGTTGTCTAAATGTTGAAATGATGCTTTATTGTCCAACAGTCCAGGCAAAGCAATGACTCCATCTCGACTGAAAGAAGCAGAAGGACAACTACCAGAAAACGTACATAGTAAAACTTTAAAACACTGACATTTCTAAGCTAAATATCATGCAGAAACGTGCTGTGAGACTCTAAAACTATAGGTGATGTCTTAAACATTACTGTAAAATCTGTGAAATGGTCCTTGAAGAAAAGACGTTTTCAGCCCCTCGCTGTGTGAAGGAGAGGTTCCATAAGAGGTAACATAATGTGAATCATCTCCTGTATTGATTGTTTGCAGTGACACCACGCTGGGGGTGTTCTACATGTACCCCTACTGTGGAATGTTCCTCTGTTACCACGGTGACACCATGCACACATGCAAACTCTGATAAAACGTTTTAAGAAAGAAAGAAAGTTTAAGAAAGAAAAACATTAACACCTTTGTATTTTTTTTAATGAGTTTCCATTAAGACAAAGTCTGAAAACTCATTAAAAAATACAAAGTGGATTTAAACAGCACACTTTCATGAGTCTGTGATCAATACAAGCGTTCATGGTCCTGTTTAGGTGCTTTATTTTCAACAAGAATGCGACAGTGACTAACTGAAAGCTAATGCCAGCGAGCTTATGACTGTAATTTTAACTTGTTCAAAAGCACAAATCAGCTCACCAGTTGTTGTTTCCTAAGTCAGATCTCTCTGGTCAGATTGTGATCAATTTAAAATCAGTCTAACTTGAGTAATAGAGCTTCTGACAGAGCAGTGCCTTTGGTTAGCATCACACCCCCAGGGAAAGTTGATGACTGCAAAGTGTCAATGTTACGCTGAAGTCAATGTCTCTGCTCCTCCTGTTCATATGCAGCGTTGTACATAAGACATATGACAGTCAGAGCCTCTGTAGTCTTTATTTAAGTTGATTTTATTAGACTTGCACAGTTGCCCTCTTGCTGTTCTTAAACTGTGTGTTGCAGCACTAAAATTTTCCTATTGTGCAAAGAGACCTGATTTTCAAAATCAAAAACTGGGTCACTCTGGATTTGTGGTAGTTGGTAATAATGAAATTGTGAAACAGGAGCATAATTAAGGAGAATTATTCTGCACTTTGTCCGTTCATGACTAATTCACGATTAACATGAGTCAGTATAGTCTCATTTTCTTTGTCTTTTGGTCATTTTTAAGCAGCTTTTCTGTATTTTACCTAAACAAATGACAATGTATGCCTCTCTTTACTGTTGGTAGGGATCAGATTGGTCAAAAATAGGAACACCTGGGACATTTCTTGTATAAAACTGGGACAAATAACGTGGTTTTGGATAAATCTGCTGGGACAGGGGACACAGGGCTCAAAACTGGGACTGTCCTGGATAAACAGGAACATCTGGACACCCTACTATTGTGGTTCTCTTTAGGGCCGGGTATTATTAAGAAGTTGTCGATACGATACATATCTCTATACATAGGCCACGATATGATACATATGATACGATTCAGTGTGATATATTTCAAATCGATTCGATACAGTTCAATAAAAATTTATGAATAAATGATGGCTGTGATACTACAAGTCTTTGGTTAAACCAATGCTTGTGCAAAGTTCATATGAAACACACCCATTTTAATCATCAAAATAATGAAAATGTCAAAGGTGTTGCATAAATAAGTTTCCTTCCTATGAACAATCGACAAAACTGTGGCACTGTAACAAAATAATTTAGTAAAATATGGCAAAAAATACTCAATATATCGATACAGCAGCCCACGATATCGATACTGTATCATCCCATTAAATTATACGATATATTGATATTTTTGCATACCCTTAGTTCTCTTATCTTATTGTTTTCTACCTTAAACAGCTAAAAACATAAAAAACTATTGAGTTGACCCAAACACAAGAGATTAGAGATAAGAGTCTTAAGAACGACACACAGAGCAGGATATTAGGCCACAATGTTTATTCAGTAGTGTTGTTTCAACTCATAGGTACAATACTGTCAGCTTTTTTAAGACTAAAAAAAAGTACCATTTACAGTCCACACACAGACGTCTGCGTACATCCTCTGCTCAGCGAGCACGCCGCTCCAATGGTAGGCACTTGGAAGGTTTAAAACATTTGTGAATAATATACATTTATATATATTTATATATCTTTTACTAATAAGCGACTGGACTTAAAGGGCTAAAAATGTGGAAACAACATGATGTGGCCGTGAAGGAGAGGACAAAAATACTGTGTGTCTTTGGGATTCAGAAACGTGTAGGTACGGCAAAAACAGAGGAACAAAACAGACAAAGAGAGATTTAAGAGGAGGAGGAGGAGGAGAGGAGGGGTCGGACCATGTGACAGACTCTATAGTACCTTATACGTTCACATTTACTGTACAGCTGAGAAAAGCAGCGCACGACCTGCTAACACTCATCAGACCAGGGACACACAGGGGGTGAGGAGGTCTGTACACCAAAGGGCCGGTAGAAAAGAGGAACCGTGGGACCAGCTGACGGCCCCAAACGCACATCTCATATTTAATACATTTGTCTGTTGTCTGTCCTGTCTTTTTTTCTAATATACAGTATGTCTTTCACCAGATTTGTGCTTTATAACTCATTCAGTGAACTCTTAGGCTGGAATAATTTTACTTTTGCAAACATTTTTTCTAAATATATCAATTTTTTACAGATCTTCTTTGTTTAATTAACGTTTTTAGCAAGCAGATCTTCAGTATTTCATTGTTTTGTTGAGACCTATTCCCTAACACTATATTCACTCTCAGCAATTACAAGCTCTGTTCAGCCATTTAACTAAAAAATGCACATTTCTGCATCTTAATAAACATTTTGCTATATTTGTAACATCAGTAGAACATGTTGCAGTCTTTAATTCTCTATAAATTTCCAATCCCTGCATTTCCAAACTGGTAAACAACATCAACATGGCCTCCTTCTTATTCTTATTCCGAGAAGCATCTGTGACTACAAATTCCTCCAGTCAGAAAACGTGAATAGCCCTAAGTACAAGTAGCTTTTTCAGATTTAGTCCGGACTTTTAACACTAATTTAGTTGTTTGGGTTTTTTTTTCTTTTTTTTTCTTATCTATAGCAATTCCCCCTTCAGGAATACTTGGAAATTGCGTACGGCATATTCGAATTTGCAGCCTCTACCCACCTGCTTTTTCAGGCTGAAAGCGTCAACATTGCAGCATGGACAAAAACACCAAACACATATAAAAGGGGTTGGAAAGAGTCATGGCGGAGCTCCAAGAAGATTGAAAAGAAAGTTGGGAGAAAGAGAGAGAAAAATGGGGACAAAGGAAAAGAAAGAACCAGGAGTAGTCTGAGGCCACAACCAGGAAATCGTCGGAACCAAAACAGAAGGAACTCAGCCGGGGCCAAGCTGTGACTGTGCAATGTCCGAAATTAAAACAAAAAAAAATCGAAAAATAACTACCATGTACCGTAAAGTTAATTCCGTGATAAGCCCTGAAACATTAAAAACGGTTTTCTAGGTTTGAGCAAAAACCTCTGTCTGAAAAAAGACCCGAAATATTAAATTTGACTTGAAAGTTATGACAGAATGAAATAAACATTGTAACCTGAAGTAGGACATTACATTGACCGTTAACTGTTAATATGAAGACCAAATGGCTTCATCAAAACTACAAAGGCATTTTAAAAAACATCCGAGAAAAGATAAATTAACGTAATACATTTTTAGCGATCGACATCAGACATGCTAACACAAATAAAATGAGAAAGAAAATAGGATTGATACAGAATCATTATAATCACTTGTGTCCATGTTTAAACTTTGTCTTTACAAGTTACGTACTGCTACAGTTAAAGTAGTTAGCGAACAATAGCTTCGAGGTGTCCGTCTTTACACAACTGGTTTCTTATGTGTTTTCTTTTTTTTTTTTCAAATAATACACAAAATGATTAAAGACGTGCTGTGTGACTTTTTGGAGGCGGGTCTACCACTTGCTTGTTGTCATAGAGACGTTCTAGAGATTGCTTTGCTTGGAGTGTTCCGCAGTGTGTATATATAACTATTTTCACTGAGACAAGCTGATGCAAGCCAGATCTGTGGAGAGGCAAGCCCGTTCTGTGTAAGAATACATGTATTTCAAGGTACTTTTGAGCAATAAAACGTGTAATTGAATAAAAGATAGTTGAGTTTAGCGATTTACTGCGGAACATTCCAGGCAAAGCAACACCATCTCCATGGAAACAAGCCAGACGGTACAAACCCTTCACCAGAAAAGCTACATAGCGCAGCTTTATGTACACTGATTCGCCACAAAATGAAAAAAAAGCTTGGTTTTAATTAAAAATAATCGAGTTGTTTATAATTACAACACTCCTTATGCTATTTCCTTATCAAATGTGTAACAGTAGCTTCTCTGTTGTCACTGACTGCGTTCACACAGTCGCTTGGTGGCGTGTCTGTTGGATTCTATATTGGATTGGGCTGGGTTGCGTTTATGCATAAAACTCCTTGGTGGGGGCCTTCTGGTACGCGGTGCCGTTGGGTTTCCTCTCGCCCAGGTCGTAGCTGCCCTCGTCCTTCTTCCTCATGCGGTAAACCAGCAGCAGGATCAGGAAGATGGCGAACAGGAAGCCGATGACTCCACCAGCAATCACCGCTGCAGAGGAGACACAGAGACAAGAGATGAAGAATCAGTAACAGAAAGGTTAGTGGTTCCCAAATGGAGGTTATGGTGCATCAGAGCAATTTATGGTCTGCCCAATTCTGTCCCCAGTTTTATTTAATTTGTATTTAGCTGAACTGTAAACAAGGTTTAAAATATGTAACACTGGTTCTGTGGCAGGAAATCCTGTTGTGAATCATTTAATGTATGCAGATGACTTGGTTGTTTTTAGTCCAACCCCTGCTGGTCTCCAGCAGCTACTCAACATCTGTTCAGCCGATGGTGTGCAGCACAATACAAAGTATAATGCAACCAAGAGTATGGTTATGATCTGTACCAAAAGAAGACAAAGACCAAAGAAGACAAATGCATGACATATCCTGACTTCTGCCTGTCAAATGTTGTGTTGACTGTCAACAAAAATTCAATATCTTTGGCATATTAGTATAGTATTAGTGGCATAGTGTATAGTACAGTGTAGGATGCTCTATGCTCAGGCAAATACCCTTATGTGTAAGTTTGGTTCTTGTACAAATGATGTAAAGTTGTTATTCTTTAAATCATATTGTACAAAAGCCAGTTTGCAAATACTGCAGATGGCCTACAATGACGCTTTGAAGGTACTTTTGAGGAGGCCGCGATGGATGTGTGCGACGAAGATGTTTGTTACTTTAATGTACAGTTTTATTTGCAGACTGAACAAATTGGACAATGAAATAATGATGTCACTCACAAATATGAGATTCAGTGCAATAAGATATCAGTCCAATATGTGGAGACACTGGTGTGGTTGTCTTTTAAAAACATACATGTTTATTGTTTTGTATTGCCACTGTTCTTTTCTGTTTTAAAAAATGGACCATGAGTCTGGAATAAAGATGAACTGAATTGATAGCAAGAATTGTCCTAGCTTTTCTGTGCAGAGTTTGTATAGTGTTTCTTGATGTGTCTGTCTCTCCCATCAACCCAAAACATGCACAGTAGGTACAACGCTCCAGCTAAGGCAGTCCTGTCCAAGACTAGCTCAAGATCTGGAGATGAGTCCCCCTGGTGTAGCGCAGCTCCTGATGAGGTGTCCCATCGGCATTGAAGTATTGGTCAAATGCAGAGGACAGACTTAAAAAAGTACTAGGTGTTTCAATCCCAGGCAAATCTGCTCTGAATCTGAATAGTACTATAAGTATAAGTAAGAATCTGAGTAGTACTATAAGAAATGGAGGATCACATTTGGAACACTCAGTGATATTGGTACCAGTGCTACTCCACAACATTTTTGAATAGGACTGAAAAGTAAAACTATATTTATTATTCTGTGAGACCTGCTGACAAAATATTCAGTTTGAGCAAACAGAAATATACAAATAAACACAGCTCGGGGGAAAACAAAATCTGTTGTTTCTGTTGAACAAAATTCAGCATAAATATTTATTAAAATCACTACATTTGGAGCCTTATTAGATCTCAAACTCTGTACAAAATACTTCTTACTCTTTAGGAACATTTTTAAATAGGCACTTTATAACTTTTACTTCCATAGATTTTTTTCATGTGATACTTTCATCATACTTGAGTATTTCTTTGCTCTGGTATCTGTATTTTTACCATAAGTAACAAAATAAAGTACTTTTAACTATGCCAACTATGCTTCCCTATGTGGACGATAAACCTTAATTTCTTATTTACTAATTAAAATTGCTGCGGTGAAAATTGAACCACCAACCTTTTGATCAGGGCGTTCATGTTTACGACTCTGATAACATCTGACAAATAATCAATAAAACAACAGGAACATATGGCAGTGTTGATGAAGCTGCTCATAAGAATGATAAAAGGACTGTCCCTGTAATGAAACGATTCATGTGTCAAACTACAACGCCCAGAATAAACCCAGACACAGGTAGATATGCAGACTATACACTGCAGATTTATGTTGGATTTAAGTCTACTTTGGGTGCTAGTGTGTTTAAGATTAGTTCACATGACACAAAAGTCTGTTCTTGTGATTGGCAGCTCCTTTAGCCTGCTGCGAACTTCAAAGACATAGTTTAAAATCTTTGGTTATAAATCATACCGGAGACAGACCGACAGCAGATGTGGTCAGAGACTTTTTCAGGGAGGATCTGCAGCACTTTGCCCCGACAGTGTTTTAATAAGGGATGTCCAGTGACCTTTAACATCCCGAGCCATACATTACTCAGCTGCAGCCGCGATTTGCATATTAGATGTTGTAATAATTATAGTAATTCTTTGGAGTTGTACTTTTGTCAAATACTTTTGGTGTTGCCTTGTCCTTTCATTTTGAGTCAAATAAAGGTATGTTACTTTTACTAATGAGGGTCCTTAAACCTGCTTGTCTCCATTGAGAAAAAAACTGCTTTGCCTCGAATGTTCCACAGTAAGGCATTAAACTATTGTATTTATATCGCATTTACTCAAATCAGGTAACTTCACTGTTTAAGAACACGTAAAGGTGTAATGCGTAACTTTTCTGGTGCTTATCTCCATGGAGAAGTTATTACTTTGGCATTTTACTTATTTACCTCCATAGAGACAACCTTCAGGCAAAGTTACAGGTAAGATCTGTGGATAGGTGACCCCCAGTTACAATAAGAATGCATGTTTTTTCAGGTTTTAAGCAATGATTAAGAGCTATAATTGAAAACATGTAATCAGGTAAGTTTAATGACATACTGTGGAACATTTCAGGCTTGTAACGGACCCCACAGCAGAGAAGTTCCATAGTGCACCCAAACACGCATTCTTACTCTCCACAGATCTGACCTGTAGCTTGGTCTTGTGGTGTCACCTGCTAGTCTGCCATAGTACAGACCCTTCAAGACAAAGCAGTTGAATCTCAAAATAAAAATAAGAAAATAAAAAAATACTTTCTTCACTATTCACTATGAAAAAATGGAAAAGAATTTGTTTTTTCAGTTTTCGATTTTGTGTTTAAATGAATAATGGAAAAAAAACTGACTTTCTGTGACTTAAACTGCGATGCTGGACTTTTGCGAGACCAGGACTGAGACCGGTTTAGTCCTGGTTTAGTCTTGGTTCAGTCCTGGTTCCGTCCTGGTTCAGTCCTGGTTTTGTCCTGGGATCAGTCCTGGCTTAGACCTGGTTTAGTCCTGGTGTAGTCCTGGGATCAGTCCTGGTTCAGTCCTAGTTTAGACCTGGTTTATGCCTGGTTCAGTCCTGATTCAGTCCTGGGATCAGTCCTGGTTTAGACCTGGTTTAGTCCTGGTGTAGTCCTGTTTTAGTCCTGGGATCAGTCCTGGTTTAGACCTGGTTTAGTCCTGGTGTAGTCCTGGGATTAGGCCTGGTTCAGTCCTGGTTCCGTCCTGGTTCAGTCCCTATCTCAGTCCCGCTCTGGTCTCGGTCTGGTCCCGATCTCAGTCCAAGTCTCAGTCCTGGTCTCCATCCTGGTCTAGTCCTGGTCTGGTCCCGGGTGCACCTCCGGGCCCGTCCTGACACTCAGTCCTGTTTTAGTCTTGGTTCAGTCCATATGTGGTGCAAAATCCAGCATCGCAGCTTAAGTCCAGAAACTGAAAACGGCCATTATCCGTTTTTTTTCATTTTCGTTTTGGAGACAAATAATGAAGAAGTTGTTGTAGTTGTTTTTCCCTTTTTTTATTTTTAGTTTTATTTTGAAAAACTAATGATACATGGATTCAGAAATTTAGAGAGAGCCTCTTAAGGGGTGGGCCATTACTCAACTATGTTATCATTTTGTTTCCTCATCACAAACATATCAGGAATTTTACAGGAAGTGCTCCTCTGTGCTTTTTAACTCCATACACTTTCACTAGAATCATTTGTATAATTTCAGCCCTGGAATTGCTCGTCTCTACTGAACAAAAGCTAAAAGGCAGCTGTTAACTTGAAAAGATGTAGACGGACTAATAACAGAAGATTACTCAAACGTGTGTGAATGGAACAAAACAACATTCTAACACGGATTAAAGCTCACAAGAGTCAATTTTACGTAATATTGGCCCTTTAACTTGCACCTACCTACTTATAAGTTTCCAAAAGCAATTTCACTTTCTCAGCAGGACAATTTGAACCCAACAAGGAGCTGACTTTGTCTCTAACTCCTCCTCAGTTTTGACCCTGGCTCGCTGCAATAATCCCTCTAAAACCACATGGGCATATTTCCGTCTCCTTTATAATCATGTCTGTGTGAAGTTGGCAAATTAACAATAGCGTGATAATCTGTTTAGGCCCTCTCCTGGTGCTGCACTGGTCTCTCAAACACCGTAGACTCGCTCCATGGACTTTTGCTGCTCGTCTAAATTCCCCACAAGGAAATACTTAAATTAGAAGAGAGGGATTGTTCTTCACATGAGATAAAGTTAGAAAGTACAAGACAAGACAAGAGGATGAGAAAAGTGCAGCAGCAAAGACAGCTAGGCATGTCAAGAATCAATAGTTGTGATTTTTTTATATTTTCAATATAATGAGAAGGATCAAAAATATAACTGTGACCGATTTAGAAGCACAATTACGTAAAAATGTTGACTTTTTATGTATGAATACGTAAATGTAAAAAATAAAGTAGTGAGTATATGAAAAAAGAAGAAGAAAAGAAAAAAACAAGCATATTTAATCTTTGTAATCCACAGAATATCATTGTGATGTGTTTATTTTAATAACCCTAACACTAGAGTTTGATATCATGACAACGTTATATTTACTTTTTCAGGGATTAGACCCCTAGCCTGATTCATCAGCCGGTTTCACTTTGTGGAAACTGTCTGACCGTCTAACTAACCTGTCTAAACCCAGCTCATGTTCCCTATTAGTGGGTGAACAATCCAGCGCTTGGTGAATTCTGCTTCATAATGATAGGAAGAGCCGACATCGAAGGATCAAAAAGCGACGTCGCTATGAACGCTTGGCCGCCCACAAGCCAGTTATCCCTGTGGTTACTTTTCTGACACCTCCTGCTTAAAACCCAAAAAAGTCAGAAGGATCACGAGGCCCCGCTGTCACGGTCTTTATTCATACTGAAAATCAATATCAAGTGAGGCAAGGATCTTTTAATTTTACCAATCTCTGCTATTTGGTCGTGACGTATGTAATGCACCACATCCCGTAGGAAGAAGGGCAACAACGTCTTTCCCCTTGATAAAATTCACCAAACATTCTCTTTGTTCCGGCTTTAAATCCTCGATCTCGGGAATTGTTGCCAACACAGAATGTATGTCTTCGTCTACATCCATCTCGACCGCTTTGTTTACTGTTGTGCTGTACCACAAAAGGGACCCAGACAGGCGCTTGAGTTTGACGTCATGGCTTCTCAGCTCTTCACTGATTGGACAGCGCACGGTCTACAACTTCCGGGATTCTTGCAAACCATCTAGTGCATGGGTGTCCAACTCAAATTCACAGAGGGCCAATAGTAAAAACTGGGACTAAGTCGTGGGCCAAACTAAATACTTATTGAAAAAATTTCAACAACATCTGCATGTTTTCTCTTCTTTCGAGATATGTAATGTTAAACCTTTTCTTATTAAAATAAATGTTTAATAATGTTTTTGCTTAAACACTGAATTCAGAACAAGCATAATATAAAATGATAACATTTTAAATAAATAATATCTCTATAGTCTGTTGTTGGCGGGCCAGTTCTAATATATTTGATATGATCTCGCGGGCCAAATATAATTATATCGTGTGCCAAATTTGGTCCCCGGGCCTGAGTTTGAGATGTCTGGTCTAGTGTATTCCGATTCCTGACCTCGTCGCTGGAGAGAAATGAAATTGAGCGGAGGCACTAGATGGTGCTAGACTGGCTACTAGACCACATCCTTAACAGAAAAAAAAAAAAAAAAAAAAAAAAAAACAGTACTAAATCAGGACTATACAAAGACCAAAACAGTTCTAAATCAGGTTCATGAATTGATATTTGTATTACAACTGTGAGTGAATTGTGAGTAACAAGTGAGTAACATTGCTGTGACTGAACCCAGAATTGCATAATCATTTTGGAGGGTAAAGCAATGACGTAACTGCGCTAAAATAGATCTACATAAATCTCTTATTTCACAGTCAAAGGTCATGTTTTAAAGACCCAAATTTTGTTGCCTTTGCTAACATTTACAACTCATTGCCATTATTTCTTATCGACGTTCACTGACTGCCAGACTACAAATGAACCAATCACCACAACAAAGATGGCTCCTCTCATCTATAAACCATCACGCCGTCTTCTTGAAGTTGCTGTTTTTGCATTTTGTCCAACACCGAGAGACAAGCACAACAAAGAACATGTGTACTGCCAGTCAGTGTCTCCCTCTGAGACATTCAGATACACAGCGTCAGCACTTCCCCATCAGCCCTCAAACATCATCTAATGTGTGAACTATGCACACTCCCACTGAGGGCCTCATGCAGAGTTTATTGCAATTAATTATTGTCAAAAATGGAAAAAAATATAGCAGAATGAAGTCATGTTCGATTGAAACAAAAGGGCACAACAAAACAATGCAACTTATTTGAATAGTGTTGTGCGAGAAGTTTGGAAGAAGGGCCCATATTGAAGTATTTTTTGATCTATGTTATGTTTTATCATCAAAAACATGCCAGGAGTTGTGTTTTGTTTCATTCACACATGTTTAACACACAAGCCCTGCATATTTAGGCTGAGTTTTTCTCTCAGACAGAAAACACTTTCACTAGAATCATTTGGATAATTTCAGCTTTCCTAATCTCTACTGAACAAAAGATAAAAGGTAACAACATGACATCACAAAGTGCACCAGAGCATTTAGAGCTTTGGAGATGTAGACAGACCAATAATAAAGGCTTACTCAAACATGTGTGAATGAAACAAACACAACTCCAGGTATGCTTTTAATGAGATAAGAGCATTCTAACATGGCGTAAAGCTCACAAGAGTCAGTTTTATGCAATACAGAGATCTTTAAAAACATAGAATCTACAAAAAAATCCATTACAACATCCACTACAGAATCCTAAAAGTCCTATATTACGCAAAATTGAATCTTGTGAGCTTTAAGCCATGTTAGAATGTTTCTACCTCACCAAAAACACACCTGGAGTTGTTTTTTGTTTCACACAGGGCTGAGTAATCCTGCATTATTAGTCTGTCTGCATTTCCAAAGCTCTAAATGCTCTGTTCCACCTTGTGATGTCATAAAGCTGTAGTTTTTAAGTTAACATCTTTTTTTTCCAGGGCTGTAATTATCCAAATGATTCTAGTGAAGGTGTATGGACTTTAAAAACACAGTGTAGCACTTCCTGTATTACCATGACATGTCCAGAGCAGCCACATGTTCTTCCACATGTGTGCAATAGTACTGTTCCACTGATGCTGTTGCTCCTTAATAAACATACAGAAGAGGCGGGATCCAAGCCGCCCCAGCCGCTCAAACTTCACTCCCCTGTCCAGATCCTCCGTTTCACAGCCCTGAAACTAGCTCACTGTTTCATTCAATGACGGCCTTTATTTCTAACTAACATCTAATCATTACAACGCAAAGGTACAAACAATGACCTGTCACTAAAAGCGAGTTATTTTTAGGCACTTGTGTTCAAATTTAGTGTTGCTGTTGTTATCTCCTGCCGCACATGCGCACTCACTAGGAATCGCCACACATCTTCTATTCCCGTTGATGATGTTATGGGTTTATTCAGCGCTGTTTGAGCCGGCAGTGGTCCTCAGTACGCATGTGCAAACTCTAAAACAACAGGCTGTTTTTTCCAGTTGTAAGAGCGCATGTAGAAAGCCACACTCTCAACTTGGGTCTCCGGGCCTCCGTAGAAGAGCAAAACAACTCAAGCTAGTAGGACATTCAGAAACGCAGTTGTTGCAGACTGCTCAGTGATCAGGAGAGTGTAGTAAAGGACACTCCCACTACAGCCATGTTTCAAACAGACCGAAGTGAAAGGAAAATGGGATTATTTGGATATAATTCGAAACTATTTAATGATACTTTTGACATGCAGTGATTTTAGACTTTATTGGGCAACCACTGCTTGCCTTGAGTGTCCTGACCGCACGTCACTGATGAATAATTCTAGCTCAGATCTATATAAATGTAATTCCTTTTATCACACTTCAACTTTTGGTCCTATTTTTGATCCTTACCTGCCAACACCTCTGTCCGGTGGAAGAGGTTGTCTGAGTGCACCTCTACTGCCTCCTGTGGTGATCCGGGAACACTGGTCGTACTGGTCATCTCGTATCTCTGGGTGTCCTCTGTCACTGGCACAGGAGCCTGCAAACAGTACATGTTTAGTACAGGAGTTTAGTACATCATTGCATTATTTTTTTTTTTTACAGTAACCATAATGGTGGGCCTGTAAATGACAACAATGTTTATTACAAATGTTTGTCCACTGATCTGAAGGTTGGCGGTTTGAATCCCACTCTTGACATAAAACATCACTGGTAGAACGGTCAGATCCACTGACCCACAGATTGGTGGTGTGATTCCAGCTCCCACAGATAAATGCTGTCGTTGTGTCCTTGGGCAAGAGACTTCACCCACCTCTCCCCCAGTGTACACTGTGTGTGAATGGGTGAGTGGCTTAAATTGCTTTGAGTGAAAAAACGCTATATAAAAATTTGACCATTTGCCATTACATTTACAGGAAAGCAGTCACCTGTCACAATAAAATCAATGCAATGATCTTAAATGCATGATTTGCACATTGCTATTAGACCTACAATTCCCTCTCCTTTTATGCAGGTTTAGGATCAATACAAATATATATCTAAATGTATCTAAAAATACCAATCAGACATATTTAAGTGTCTATTCTGTAAGGCCATCGTTGACAAAACCACTATTTCCCACAATTTTCTGACCAGAAAAATTATGATATATATTGTTTCTTTTTTTGAATGATTCATGTGGCCATTTAATCTCTTACCAAGGTTTTAAGATTGACTTTATGTATTGCTGATGATAACCTTGGATGCCTGTAGTTATGTTCAATATTCTCAAAGCACTTCATATTGCATTATTCAGTCACTCCATACTCATTGGTCAGCTTCTATTGACTTCAACTGACGTCAGATTGCCAATCCGCGCCATTTGCCCATCACACAATACCAAGAATTGTAATTTATGCAAAACTATTCAAATTTATTATTATTTTAAGCCCAAATTGAAGGTCCATTGTTACGGGCCACTGCACTGAGACCTATGACTTAATCCCAAACAGATGCAGTACAGTAAAGATACACAGATACAGCAATCCTGCATAATGTCCACAGTAGTGAAAACAAAGTATGACGTGAGTGCTCGTCTTCCTCACAGCTGCAGGCATTAGGAGGGATTGGATAAAATGGTTACACGGAGGCAGTTTGTGGTGAGTCAGGGTTTAAGCTCCAGCGTCACCGAGGGAACATGACGTCACTGGGCACAGTCAGGCTTACACTGCGGCCAACAACGTGTCACGGAAGTCATGTAGTGTAAAAGCTGATAAATATGAGAAGACCTTCATTTTTTTATTTCATGGCGAGTCCAAATGTAAAATCGGCTAAAAAGATATAATTTGCTCTGGACAATTATAATGCTGATTTACTCTTAAAGGTGGATTGTGTGACTTTTCTGGTAGAGGGTTCACCAACTGCTTATGCCTTTCTATCACCATGGAGACCAAACCAGACCAAGTTACAGGTCAGATCTGTGGAGCGGCGACCTCGCTCACACTCAGAATGCCTGTTTTTCTAAATATTTTGGCGCTATAAAGCCACCTGATATTGAATAAATCAGGTAGATCTGTTTAATGTCATACTGTGGAACATTTGAAGCAAAGCAATTACATATCCCACAGAAACAAGCAGGTGACCAAAAAGTACATCATGCACTTTTAATTACAAAAACAGTTACATTTTGGCCAAGTTGTTAATGTTATATTTTGGTGTTTTGAGAGATGAGAAATGAGAAAGCAAAAATGAGCCGAAGTTTCTCATTCTTTCAAGGCGTGTTCATGTACTGAGAATGAAAAAAATGTGTCTGTCCTCTTCTTAATACTAACGCAGTGACAACACGGGTTCATTTTTTGTGATTTCTTTTTAAAGAGCCATATTGCACTATTTTCTGATCTAAAGTCTCCTCATAAAAAACAGCTGGAGTTGTGTTTTGTTTCTTTCACACATGTTTAACACAAGTCCTGCATATTTAGGCTGTGTACTTTTCTCAGATGAAAAACACTCCATTCCGTGCTTCACTAGAATTATTTGGGTGATTTCCGTATTGGAATTTCTGATCTCTACTGAACTAAAAGGTAAAAGATAGTTGTCAACTTGAAAACTACCACTACCTGACATTACAAGGTGGAACAGAGCATTTTGAGCTCCGGAGATATAGATAGACTAAAAATATGTGTGAATGAAACAAAACACAACACTTGGTATCAACATTATAGCATGGTTTAAAGCACACAGGAATCCAATGTATGTAATATACGACCTTTAACTAGTACGGGCACAGTAGTCCAATATGGTCCATTTGGTCTTCCGATTATTTATGTTATTATATTCTTTTTTGAGACCAAGAGTTTGTTTTCATATCTGACAGATCTGACTGCTCACTAGCGCTCTTCCTCAACACTGTCGCTGGATCAAAGAGGCAATCGAAATACGGAAATGTGCCCACGGGACTATAAACCGGGATGAGGGGGCTTTTTTACTCTCACACACCTGGGATACTGTCCTGAAAAAGCTGGACTGCAGACAGCACTAACGTCCTGTCTCCAATGGTAGGAAGACAGCGCCAAAACCTGCTTAAATCAGCTGACCGGACACGTCACAGCAACATCACTTGACCACTCTGAGGAAGAGCGCTAGTGAGCAGTCGAAACTGTTAGGTATGAAAACAAACTCTTGGTCTGAAAAAAGAACCTAATAACATATATAGTACGAGCACAGGCTATACTGAATGACTTTTAACTCAGATGGAATTTTGTGGAGGCCCTGGATACTATAAAAATAAATTATATAATATACGGACACAATTTTGTAATTTCATCATTTCATAAAAAAAAAAAAATCTACTTTAAATTAGTCTTTGGTTCACATCGCATGAACACATTAGTCATTCCATCATAGCTTTTTAGCAAGCATTTGGCACACATGATCCTTTGTGCACCTTCTTTGCTGCTATTCTAAAAAAAAAAAACAAATGCAAATGAAATAAATACATTTTGACCTCAGTTAGTAGTGCATATTAAATCTATGTCTGTCTCCCTTGGGCGCTCTGTGTCCTCACCTCTGTTCTGAATGGTTTCCTGGGTGTCATGGCTCTCTCGGTGATGGGGTCGACTCTGGGGGTGTAGTCTTTGGTCACGTCCTTGGTCGGAGCTGCTGCTTTGGGCTGGATATAAACCGTACTCACTGTTGCTGTCTCAACGTCGCCATCTTCACCTGCACCTGGAAAATACAGAAGAAAACTGATTTAGGAGCGTTCATCTCCCCACTATTGCAAAGAAAATGTACACACAATAAATGCTGAACTCGGCAGCTGTAGTTCCAGTTAAGTCAGTTAATATTAATAATATCAGCTGCAAAGTATCAATTCCGGTATGCAGGATCACTTGCAACCAAAAATCCACTTGGTATTTATTCTATCCCATCCAGATCACAACTATAATTCATTACAAAAAAGTCTATTCAAAAAACCTTGTACAATATTGTTTTACTTTAGTGAAATACTCATAGGGCTCAGAACAACTTCATAATCAAATAAAGGGTTTTTAAGGATCTATTATTGATCACTGTCCCCTCCCTTTACCTCCCCTGACCTTCCTGGAGTGGAACTTTTACGATTCATTCTAAAAAGTGCAGGATTTTACTGTTGGAAATGAGCTGTGAGGACACGCTGAGGGCCAGAGGAGCGAACAGAGAATAAAACGAGTATGTAAAATATGCAACTTGGCTCTGGGCAGTCTCTGTGTGAGAGAGGGGGACCTGGAAATCTCACCTCAAATTGAGCCTCAGAGACAAAGACAGGCTTTAGTTAAAATAGACAATGTTGTTTCAGACTACAGAAGAGGAGAATGGTTTGGTTTGGACAAAGGTGAAAGAGGAAAAAAGAGGGGAAAAAAACGATGTAAAAATCTGAATAATGGAGGTACATCAAGGAATTAAAGTGTGTTAAAGCAAGAGTAATACTTGTGTAATACTTGTCCTGTTATGATCTGAGTTGTACATGTCATCGAGGGAACTGGATTTAACATCGACACAAATGAATATGTCTTTGGTTAAGTGTAGTAATATATAAAAGGTATATGGTATATGTACTTCATGAGGGAAATTCATTCTCTAGTCCCACTGGGCAGAGGTGGAGTTGGCAATTTGGGGGCCCTAGGTGAACTTGAGTTTAGGGCCCTCACTATAATGGACAGTTTGTTTGTTTGATTGTTTGTTTTGTGTTTTATTTTATTTGAATTATTGTGAATTGGAAACTTGTCTTAGTAGTTCCAGGGTTCCCACTGTTTTTCACTGACAAAATTTCAAAACTTTTCCATTCATAAAGTGAATGACTTTACGGCACCTTCATGTGTAAAACTGTTCATACTTTTAGGGCTAAATATGAAATGTTAACCCTTTCCACTCACCTTGTGGTTTGGTATTATAGTTTTTAACATTCAAAATATTGTGCATTTATTTATTTATTTATAATGCCTTTGTTGTCGTCTCTTTTAAACAAAAGGCGCAGACGTTCGGAAATAATCATAATAGTCTAATGATAACTTAACAGAACACTGTAGTTGCGTGAAAGAGATAGTAAAATTCCATGACTTTTCCAGGCCAGGAAAATTACAGTTTCAATTTCCATGACTTTTCCAGGATTTCCATGACTGTGGGAACCCTGTAGTTCATTTGCCTACTAGAAAACCAGAACTGAAAGTAGTTTTATTTAATTGCTAGTACAATTACATTTTTGTTTACATCAGTCACATACAATTATTATTATTTTTTCTTATGATTACTCTTTAAAAGTAAAACTACTCTTATTTAATGTCATATTGAGAGAAAATCTAATTGCTCTGAGGCATCAAATTGTATTAGTGGCACTGAGCGCAGTAGGTTGGGGGCCCCTCCAGGTTTGGGGGCCCTAGGAAGCCGCCTACTTTTGCCTAATGGTAGTGCTGCCTCTGCTGCTGGGGACTGGAGGAAACCCACTCAGACATGGAGAGAAACATGCAAAATCTGCACAAAAAGGCCGGTCCAGCAGGAAGTCAATCCACAATCTTCTTGCTCTGAAATGTGTTCTAGCCACTCAGCCACTGTGCCACCAAATGTAGGTTTGTCGCTCAAAGTACTTGAATTGTAATAAATACTTGCCTGACCCAAATCACAATCCAAACACATCCACAAAATTCTTCAATCATACAGAACAAAAATATTTGACTTCTTTTACTTGCGATAAATAAAAGTTTAGTGGTTCAGTTGTGGATTGTGCAGAAATTCCCTCTGTTTTTCTGTCCTCTCTCTTTGTCTTCTTTGTTACTCCTAAACCTCCTTGTTTGGAACATGCATCTCTGATTGGTTAATCCAGTTTAGTGAAAGCGTGTGGTTCTGCCTGGACAGGTCAATAAAATACTATGTCAGGAAATATAGCATTTCAACAGATGACAGGCTCCTAGAATCCCAATGAGAGTATGGGACTCAAGGATGTATCTTGTATTAAAATTCTTTATCAAGAATTTTCATGGATTAATCACTTGACATGCAACTAAATCCCACTCCACTTCAGGTCCTGCTTCAGTAAAAGTACTTAAAATTATACTATATCTACTTCACCTGCAGCTCCTTCATATCTGTAACAGCCTAATCTGTACGTACAGCCTACACGGCATGTTTAAATGCACTTTGTATGTAGATGTGATGTGTTTAAAACTCACCAGAGCCAGAGCCGGAGTTAAAGTCATCGTCGTCCTCGGGGTAGAACCCTCCTGACCCCACGTCGTCCAGGTACAAGTCATCCACCTGAGAAGTCTGAGCAGCTGATATCTGCAACAGAAACAGATAGAGACACATTTAGTATTTAAGCTTTTAGCGTTCAAGAACAGATCAAGATGTATCACACGACATGAATAACTAAGTAATGTAACACTATACGCAACACAAGCAGATAGCAGGAGGTTTCAGCGGATGTGTTTACCAGGGTTGCCCCATCCACAACATAGAAATTCAAGTATTTAATCCAGAAGTGCATTTCGTTTTGGCATATGTATCATTTTGTTGTTGTGTAATAATCTAAAGCATGTGTAGAATGTTTTTTATTTATACAATACATTTGGGCAAACTGAGAAAAAAATGCATAGGAAACAACAGTGAAAGGGCAGATACTGAGTTATTTTCGGATCTATTTATAATGTTGTTGCCTTATTACAACAAACCCGGAGAACATACTAAAGAAACAATAAGAGGAAGAGACAAACTGAAAAAAGTATTACAGAGAGAGTCCTACTGGATCTACACTCTCAAGGCCACCCAGTTTCCAGGACTCAATGGAGAGCTAGATTTCTCCCCCTTCCTTTAAAACCACAAACTTTAAATGTATAATCAATTCCTGTTTTACATCTTCGTCTCCATGAATCTGTTTAAGACTAGCCCTCAAATATATTATACAAATTATAGTTATATCTGTAGCACTTTTGAATTTTTGCACTATATATACCTTTTTATACTATGCATCTTTCTACGTATTGGTTGTTGGGATTTGTACTATTTATATATTGTATTATATTTGGACTTAAATAGCTTGTAACTAAAATCTGTTCAGCCTACATGTTCCATCATGCACCAGGGGACTGTGGGCCAACTCAATGTGAACATGTGACCTACACCTATTACTTCAAATCTGCACTGTGATATCCATCTCGAGTTTGCCCTGATGAAAGTTGAAGTAATTATTTAGTACTTTTTGAGTGACTCCGTTTTTTCTAGTTTGTATTTGAGACTGGTCCCTACACTGAAAAGACAATTCTGCACAATTTTTGTATATTCAACTGGCACTCCTGCCCCCAAAGTTAAACCCGGAGTTGTGTTTTGTTTCATCACACAGGAATTGCCAGTCTCTACTAAACAAAAGATAAAAAAGGTAGCTTGTAACTTGAAAACTTCATGACATCACAAGGTGGAACAGGGCATTTTGACCTTTGGAGATGTAGAAGTGCTTGTGCAAAGTGATTTTCGTGTAGCTTGTCCTTGAAGAATTTTCATATCTGTCTATATGCACAACAAACTTAAAGGCGTGCTACGTAATTGCGTCTCTCTATGCTTGTCTGGAAAGTTCCACAGTATGGCATTAAACTCACTGCGAAGACAAGCAGGCCACATTACAGGTCAGATCTGTGGTGCCGTCGCTAACAGTAAGAATGCATGAGCTTTTTGAGACACGTTTAATGCCGTACTGTAAAACATCTAACGCGAAGTTATAACATCTCCACGGAAAAGTTACACAGCACACCTTTAAGTATAGACCACAATTCTTTCCCCACCTTTGAATAATCACAGTTAGAAGGCGACTAAACCAAGACACAACACTTTTGTAATTTGCCCCAAATTTTCTAAAACATCCTTTTTATTTGACTGCACGCACAATTTCCCAAAACAGGATTGTAAAAGTCAACATTTGATCACACAAACACCCAAATCATAGTGTCAGCTTTGAAATAACTCCCACCTTTGTTGAAAATGACATTAAAAAAAATCTTGTAAATATGACCTTGTAATCCAACCACGCTCTCTGCCTCTGTCATCACCCAAACCTGTAATTTTGCCTACAAGACGTAACTGCTATATCATCATGTATTGGTTTATGGTTCGAGGTGCAGGGGGGGCTATTATCCAATCAGACGAGCAGGATTCGCCGCCCCATTGTTGCCGTGACGACCGGGGATAGCAGCTGGAATGTTTGTGTTGGGGCTTAAAGAGAGAGAGAGTGATGAAAAGGAGGGACCGGCTTTCACTGTTTGTCCAGAGACTCTTTCTCACAGAGCGGAGCAAAAGGAGACGTTTTAAGAAAGATGCTTGATCAGATTGAGATGTTATTCAATGTAAAGAACAACGATTTACAGCAGGGCATGAATGGATTTCTATGAACCGTTTTCAACCACAGTGTGTAACTTTTTAAGCCGAAAATAGACAAGAAAAAGGCACGTTTTGTTTTTGTTTGGTCTCCTTATGCCTCTTCATATTTAAATGTTGTCCTTTTGGATGTAATCTTCCGTAGTCTGTCATAAAACTTCTCTATGTAAAATGTTTCAGAGCTTTAATTACTAAAATACTTAAAATGATATACCTTTAAGTGTCTATAAACAATAACCAAATATGTTTGAGATGGTGACATAAGCAAATTTTTACTTATAATGTAGGCTCAAGCGTCGCCCTGGCTTGAAAGTCCCAGATCGAGCGTCCTACTCTTGGCAAAAAACACGGATAACTGCTGTGGGGGACGTTCTCACAGACCTTTAGTTACAAAATCAGCATTCTATATCATGATAAAATGAATTGTGAATGTAGCGAGACTAAATATCGGGCCTTGTTTATGTCATTTTACCAATTTTCACGAAGTAGCACACATTTTTCAGTATATAATATCAATATAATCCTCATTTGCTCACAGGAGTTTACTATGAAATCGTATTTTCAATCATTTTTTTCTTGTTCCCCATGACCTATAGCATCTGTAACTGTTGATTTGCGAAGAAATATGAATTATTTCCATACCTGCTGCCATGAATATAATCAACTAAATGTCAGATGTCATGCAACAGGGTATAAAAGCAGGGTGCTCATCCTCCCCAAATCAGAATACTTGCTTATGCTGAACATGAACATGAAAGATATACATTTTTATTTATATGTATATAGATTAACTAACTTAGTTTCATAAAGGGTATAATTCAGGGGGACCTTCCAGCTGATTTCTGTTTGTCTATATTGACATTTAACATATAATCAGACTTATATCAAGTATACAGTAAGGCACATTACACATGCTCCACCAATGTATTTCAATATTTTCAGCCTATTTTTAGTATGCACAAATTAAAGTGGCTATGTTTAAAGCTGTGTTTTTTACTCAAACAGAGCATGCGTCTCTCTGTTTGGTTAATCCGCTTGTCAATCACGCCCTCTGAAGTCAGCGAGACAGGATACGGTGTCCAGATTTACTCGTCTTTGTAAAGTTTTATCAAAGCGTGCGGTTCTGGCTGGTCAGGTAATAGCAACACATACAGTCACGCATACTAGCAATCCTGTATTTCAGATCACATTGACCAGTCTAATCACATTTTTGACTTTTTGTTGTCGTCTGATGAAAGTGAAACTAAGCATTTCCCATAACAAAGAACTAGAATTCCATTAGAAGGATCTTTAAAATACGTAACAGCGTCTCCCTTCTGTCTCTGGACCAAAAAAATCACCAACCAGTGATCAAAGCCTGAATTAGCTCAAAGCCAACTTTATCTTAACCTGTTCCGTCCCCCTCTCAAAGCAATGCTCCAGTGGTCTCAGTCCATTCAGAGCATAGGCCAGTGGTTCACAATAGCTGCAAAGGAGAAAGCCAGTCCACAGATCAGAGAGTAACAAAGACTCTAATGAGACAGAGGCCACACACTGCAAAATGGCTCAGTGGACCTGTTTAACGCCGTAGTGTTAACTTTGATTGTACATGATGAGAACTAACCAAGCGTTTAACATGAGAGCAGCTAACAACAAAGCTCTATTAGAAAAATGGACGGGTATGGGGTAATTAGAATAGGATACTTTCAGAGGGACTTCTGCTTTCATATGTTGTAAATTGTTTGATAGTTGCTACAGATTTAAAGATGTTTTGTGAGTTTTAACCTTACTATTAGAATTCTATCAGTACTCAAACTAGGGATGGGCATTCGATTAAATTTTCTTAATCGACCGTCGAGAGAATTAACGACTGATTTTCAATTAATCATTAACGTTTTTATATTTAAATTATTATCATTATTATTACTATTACTAATAAGCATAAATAAACTCAACTTTACAACATATAAACCATAACCACTATAGGGTCACATCAGCCCGTTTGAGATTATAATGTGTTTAATGCAGCTTTGCCACATTTGTTTACGTCTTATAGAAACGAAACTTAAAACCGCATGGCACAGAGGGATGTGCTGCTGATGGTGAGTCTGTCCTGTGTGTATATCATGTTGGAGATGGTAAATATTTTCAGAGATCATACATGTGCAGATCATACGAGTGCAGATTGTACGTGTGCAGGTTTAGTCATTTCACTCACTTTATTTATGTTGGTCACTTTATTTACTTTGGCTACTGTTATGATAAAAAGACTGAAAAGTGTTTGTCTTTTGGATGCATGCTCACTCAACTTTATGTTGCAGTAAACAGGATACTGCGTATATCTGCACCATGATGAAACCGGAATACTCCAAAAAAAATCCGATCATAACCGGGATACTGATGTGCATGTAAACACACACAAGGAGGGGTGCCAGAGCCCAAACGTGGGACTGTGAGGCCGCAACTCCAGTGTTTGTGTCAGACGCAACCTTGTCTCCTTATGCTACACACAGCAACCTACAATTGGTTTGTCGATTAAAAATGAACGTGATCGACTAATGGCCATCCCTAACTCAAACTAGATTAAAAACTAGATATTTGTTTAATCAATAGTATCAATACTGAAAAAGAGGACAGCAGGACTTTTTCTTTGTTTAGAAATTGAGTTTTAAATTGTTTGATCTTAAATTAAATGTTGTTTTGTGTTCTCTCTTTGTCTGGATATTGCAAATAAAATGTTTAATAAAAAGGCAAGTTATTTCAGCACTTTCAGTAGAATCATTTGGATAATGTCAACCATAGAACTGCTGGTCTTTTTTGAACGAGGAGTAAAAGATAGCTGTTAACTTGATTTTATTACCGTTCAATGACATCACAAGGTGGAATAGAGCATTTTGAGGCAGGATTACTCAAACACGTGTCAACAAAAATGCATGTTT